TATACGTTTGTTATCTTTAAATAATAATAATAGAATCATTCAAATCTTCCTCTACAAAAATTACTTATTAATATTATGAATAGAATCTGTAAACGTCACTTGGACAGAATGCGTTCAATCCCCCCACTAATTTATGTTTACACTTAAGCACGCTCGGATGTTGAGAGAGGCAGAAACAGCATCGTACAGACTGAATTGCACCTTTTACGTAGCGAATTAAGTGACTGTTGACTTTATACGGACCTTTTACTGTACTTTTTATACATTCCAAGTAGTTCAAGGAGAATTGTATTCGTGCACACGCTTACACCACAATAAGAGGGTGGTGGCTGAGATGAGATTATTTCGTACGATTGAATTATTCATATACAAATTTGGTTAATTCAAGATATAAAAGTAGTAGTAACTGAAAGTTTTTGCAACGTTTCCTTCAAGATTATTTTGGATAAGTATTTTTATAAAGTATAAATATAAGTAATAATGTAGCCATATTGTGTATGTAAACAGCAGTAACTTATACACTAATTATGACGAAGACAAGTATTCGTGGTATGTTAGAACTCTTAGTGACGTAAAGAAGAAAGAGAAACATAAATATCGTCCACCCCAGTGGTCCTCGAGATATAATCTTCAACGACTCATCTCGGAACATTGATGGAAGTTGTGAACGATCTTAGAAAGACCGCCAATAACTAATACATTTTTAATAATTTGAACATTCGGAGATTATAAAATTCGCACAATTAAAATAAGACAACGATTGTTAATATTACACTCTCGATCACATTAAAAATCTTTACACGAAGAGAGAATGTTCTGTTTAAAAATTATCAATGTAATCCTGTACACTTGTGTTAAGATCTCGACATACACCCCGAAAATATTCCCGAGGTTGCAGATCCACACGTGCAAACTGATGTGTCGCCATTTTTTCGCATCGACATGAACTTTTTGAACAAGTGAGCGAAGCAAAGAATGGTTTGTGCAGTACCTGTATTGTCTTCTGGTTGTGTAGGGCCTATATTTTCTGTATGTTGTTTATACGTAATGTTCAATACAGTAGATCCCCCTATAAAACCGTTTCCTATAGTTATGATTCCTATAAAAATTGTGGCAGTATCCGTAAACAACGGTAAAAATAACTCCTATAATACGTAAAACGTCATCGGGCAGCCGAACTACTTTCCCGCCGTCCGTAGCGCCACGCTACGGACGTTTAGGCGGATAAATTGAGTTTAGTATCGTCTGTTCATATAATTATATATAAATTAGGTACTGTACATATAATTATATATTAATTATATATAAATTAGGTACTGTACATATAATTATATATTAACTTAATTTATTGTAACTTTATTATAATTATATATATACTTTCCGCCGTCCAGCGCCACGCTACAGAGAGTTTAGGCGAGTAAGTTGAGTTTACTATCGTCTGTACAGTATGTAAATTAGGTACCGTAAGTCTAATACAGTACTGTAATTTTATACATTTCTTGTGAAAGAAACATTTCTTATTTAACGGCCATAAAAATTATTTATATTAAGGATGTCTCCAAAGGTCAACGAAGTTTTCGCAGAAAAATAATATCAGAAATCGCGGCCGCGGTTTGATGCGCTGTTCCGCGACGAAACCAAGCTTTAGCAACGGGCGTAGTCGAACGGTACACACTCGGTAAGCAATCCTACAATTTTTTGTTTATAACGTAGTTTATACGGATTATTTTAAAAAAAATATACGTATTTTGGAAATGTTGAGTCGAATTAGTCTAGAATCGATTAATTTTATGAAAGAAAACCTTTCAAACAGCCGTAGTCCGTAAACTATGATTCCTACAAAATTGATTCATAAAGAACGGAACGTATCTACCGTCTTATAGGGGGATCTACTGTATTTGTATAATTTCTTTACGATTTCCATGATTCGTGCCCTTGCCTTTTTGCCAACTCTCTCCAGTGTCGTTTACGTTATCTTTGAACGATTTTCTACTGGGATATACAAATATAACAGATGTAGATGCAGGAAAAATAATTGAACTTCTCTCTTAACGTATAATATTCCTAAATAATAAATTGTTTTTCAACTCGATCTTACTCGTAATTAAAACCTTGCTTAGATGGACCGAAATAGCCCCTACTACAAACGATACCAGGAACTCCAAGAAACGAAAGTAAAAGATCTAGCACATCACATTGGCTTTTCCTGGTTCTTTCACTTCAATACATACAATAAAAGAAAAGTTCAGATGGGAAGCTCTACAGCAGGGATCCTGTGCAATATGATGTGGTATTAAGGAAGTTAACCCTCTACTCTTCGATTATTTTAATACTAATTTAAACTAAATTTTTAATTAATTCATTTGTATCTTTAAGATATAAATTCGATAGTAATTGTAAGAATGATTCATGTAAAACGTTATGAATGGAAATTCATTTCTTATTGTCGCCACGTGAATTGTAATTGTGACTCACGTATGAATCACAAACATAAGTTATCTAAGGAAATTACATATTATTAATTATCGTTTGAAATCCTCTTATAAATGGGAATCTTCGTTTATTTTTTAAACGTGTAAAATAATTACGAATTAGCAAACACCATTTCATTATTATTTTCCTATAATATGCTAGAAATTCTCGTTTAATTCGTGTAATAATTGAAAGAATTTTAAGGTTAATGACTTTTCAAGGTAAAATTTTCCATCCTCTCTGAAAGAAATTGCAAAACAAAGTGAGGAAATGTCATTGTTAAATTAACTTTGAGATTATTTTGATAATGATAAGAACAAATTTACACTAAATAAAATTTGTATGCGATAATATATTTAGTAGAAAAGTGATTCTAAAGACGATACACAATGTAATTTTTCCTTTCCGGCTGCTATATAATAAAAGGAAAGTATGGCCAAGTATAGGTCAAAAATGACCACCCACCTTAGAATTTTAAAATTTTGGACTCAGGGGACCTTGAAATATAGAAAAATGCAAAAAATCGGGGGTAATTTCTGTACGTATGGATGTTATTTAGTGTGTCTATGGGGACACGATTTCGTTCACCCATTTCGAAGCTTAATAACTCCTGTGCCTTTTGTCAAAAATTTCTGAAATTTTGTACAGAAGTTCAGATATAAGAGTCACGGAGGTGATTAAAGTACGGTAGTTAAAGGTCAATGGGGTGGGGAGATAAATCGGGTCGTGTGTCCTATCTCGAGTATCGTCGGAATTAATGAAGATTTACTCGTTATCATTTACAACGTTTTATAAAACTCACCTCTACTCTCTACCCTTTTTTTACATTTTATAATAATTAATAATAAAAACCTTTTAACTAAAATATCATAACAGATTGCGCCACACGCAATTTTAACTGTTGAATATTTTAAAAATTCCTTTCTTAATTTCAAAAAAAAATCTATTTAAATATATTCACATAATAAACTTTCTAAATATACTTTTCAAAATTCCCGTGATTAACTTATAATTATGATAAATATATCTGGAAGGAACTGATAATACAAGGAATATTATGACGTTGTATAGGTTTGTAGTGTTCCTAATTATAGACTTTCGATTTTAAATAATTACCGAAATACACTGATTATGTTGCAATAACATTCCTCTTTTTAATTATAAATAATAAATTTTAAATTTTTTGATAAAATTGCCATTCTATTAGAGTAAACAGTCTGTAAAAAACCATTACACCCTACATACCTAATAGCTCTAGAAGTGAATTGTTTGCTCTAAATAATAAGATTAATAACCTTAATAATCTAGTAAAACCAAGATAATACTTTAAGACTAAACCTGTATGTATCGAGTTTATGTATATCTTAATACAGGGTGGAAAAGAAAGTCACTTAACATCCCATTGCTGCAGAATGTACCCATTGAACATATTATGTAACGTGCATAACTTTGTAACCGTTAGAGGTAGGTCAAAAATATCTTTCATAATCAATTCCTTGTGAAATTCTCACCTTAAATGATGTGTTATATGACCCCATTTTCATTTACAGTTTCGGAATTGCATTCAATACTCACGTCAGGGGTGGTGAGGGATTGAGACATACATATTCGGAATAGAGGTTTTATTGTATAGATATAGTATATTAAAATATATTTTAAAATAGAATCCGTAAGAGTTGTAATTCCGGATTCCTCCATCCGGCAAGAGATTTCCTTTACAATTGGATTTCAGGATGACTTTTACAACTCGGTTTTTTGCAACGAAATAATGACGCAATTTCTGGGATATTCCTCGAGGAAATTACTATAAAACTGTTATATATAAATTAAGAAAAACTTCTGTGTTTTCAATTCAAGTTTCGTAGCTTCGAACGTCATAAAAGTCTGTAGGTTAATTCCACTGGTGAGTAAATACGATCATTGTTTTACTTAATTACACTTTAAAATACTCTTTATGACTAGCAAAGAGTTATAATTTTAAATACAGTAAAACCTGTATTCGCCGGAATAGTCGGGTATCAAATATTCTTCCGTTTTGCAAAGGTTTTAGCCTACTGTATTTATAATTATAACACAACAAAATAGTAACTTATAATTTAGTATTTTAGCATTTATTTTTATATATAGCATTGATAAATTGACATTTATCATTTCCGTTAACGATAATTAAATTCCTGAAAGTATATCTACATAGATTTTATATGTATTGTAAATTATTTACAATATAAAAATTTAATATCATATTATAGTAAAACCTGTCCACAACGGACCCTGCTTTAACAGGAAAAAATTCTTCGTAACTGAGCGATTTTTCTCTTTAAAAAAATAAACCTGTTTAAAACGTAAACCTGCCAAATCCGGACGATTCCGGTTTACACAGGTTTTACTGTATCATGTTTTTTTTTTAATTAAATATTAAACATTATCATTAATTCTATTTTCTTCTTCGCAGTTGCAAAACCTCATCGTGAGAAACCCAACATTATAACTTTCTTCTATTGTAAAGAACGAGCAACAAGTGAGCCATTATGCGTTTTGCCATGGTGACAATCCTGTTTTTCGTGGTGCAGTCGGCACTGGTGGAGAGTCGAGGCAATCTGAGATCTCGTGCAAGGGATTATAACAAGAAAGTAAACAAAGAAGGTTCTTGTTCCAAACCATCGCGTACGTTGATACCCGTGAATAACGCACCGGATAAAATCTTCCTTCCTCACTGTGCCATCTTGCACAGGTGCTCTCAAGATTCGGGATGCTGCCAGAGTGCTACAAAAGTATGCGATGCCAAGAAGACGGAACTCGTCAAACTACCTTTCTTGGTCAGTGAGTTGATGAGTGATGGCTCTCATGGTCCTTTAAAGCCAATTGCTCTTACTTTCGTTAACCATACGGAATGCGCTTGTAAGAGTCAACTTGCTTGAAGTAACATTATCCGTTTTAGACATGAACAAACAACTAATTCGAAACTAATGTGTTGTTTCATCTTCAACTATTTACAAGAGTCCGAATAGGACGAATCCATTATATTTATTTCTAATCATAATTTATGAATATTTATTCATTTGTAATATAAAAGTTGACGAAATAAAAATATTAATATAATTAAAAGTTCTTTTGCTTGAATCATAAATGATTGACGTCCACCGGTGGCCGAATGGATACAACCGAAACCCTGTAGTTGTCGTGGGTTCGGACCTTATCACACGCTGGCCAGGTGAAATTTTCCGGGTTTCTTCCAGTATTTACACCTACGACACGGAAAATCTACCCGGAAGACATTCCTTTCCTTCATAGATCTTCGCTGCATTGCCTTGTTCAATCAATTCAATCCAATGGCAAAGAATTCTTTCCTAGTGTTTAATGTAAAGTTGCTTTTTATATCAAGAACTACTTATACATACTTTTACATAAGGGTGAATACAAAGCAGTAAAGACGTCACCCAGGAATTTTTACTTGGGGGTCCCAGTCTCCGTTATCCGACACCCCCAATTATGAGTCTGGTCGAACATTTTAGTGCTATATAATTAAATACAGGCGTAAATACATTCGTTTATATTGTAGCCCACGTTTAGTGCTGTTTTAATTAAAACATTCTTCTATAAAAGATTCGTTATAATTGATAAAAAAAAAGAGACCCGAAAATGCATTTAAAATGTCATCCGTATAGGGATGATCTTTGATATTTATATCTCTATCCGGAAACAGAGGAGTTCGACGAATTGTTATCTGGATGACTTTTAAAAATTCGAATTATTTTTAACGAAATTACTAAGCAATTTCTGGGATAATCCTCGATGAATCTCTGTAAAAATTGCATTACGTGAAACACAGAAGTCGTTATTTTCCGTCGACACTTAACGTCACCAAAGAAAGTGTAACAGTTAAGTTTATTGGTGAGTAACTACGATCGATTTTCTCTTTTTAATTTTGCAGTCGAGTATTTTAGAATATGCTTTACGTGTACACACGTAACAACAGATTGTTTTTCAACACCGTGTACTTTAGATTATCCAATTTTATAAAATAATATTATTTTTTCATATTAAATTTTCTTCTATGCAGTTCCGAATCTTCGTTGTGAAGCATTCTACACCATCATTTTCCTTCTAAACTAAGAAATGTACAGCCAAGGGTTTCTGGTTATTGTGTTGATGCCGTGTTGCGTATCTCAAGTCACTTCAGAGAAAATACAATTGGACGAGTCCGGAATGCAAATCTTTAACAAATATCTAAGGAATCAAGCAAAAATATATGAGGGAACCGTAAACACAAAAGGTGCCTGCTCTAAACCGGTGCGTAAATTGATACCCGTCAGTAAGACCCCCTACAAAATCTATCGTCCCCACTGTGCCATATTGCATAGATGCTCTAAAGACTCGGGATGCTGTCACAGTGATATAAAAATATGTCAAGCCAAAAAGACGGAATTCGTCACTCTACCTTTCTTAGTAAGCGGATTGATGAACAATGGCTCTTACGATCGTTTCAAGCCCATTGCTCTCGATTTACTTAACCATACGAAATGCGCATGCAAAAGCGTAATTAATTGAAGTATGGTGAAACCTCGATTTAACGTACTAATTCGGGCCGAGGATATCCGTTAAATAGAGGTTTTACTTTATTTTTAAGCTTATAGAGCTTTATACAGTCATATATATATGATACTACTGTTTTTAACAATAGTTGATGTATAAATAATCTAAACAATGTCAATAATATTACTGTATTTCTAATAAATCATTAAAACAATTAGCATTTTACACTTAAATAACTGATAACAATTACTTGTTATTAGATATTGTTATGTGCAATTGTTATATGTAGCACATACTGAAGACGTGAGCCCAAAATGGACATTCGCCCGAATATATTGATAACAATAACCGAAATATTCGTGTAGTTAGTTCCAGTTTTGCATCTAAAGGTGTACGTGGTAAATGCCACATTCCTGGTGGTTGCAGTGATTATTGCAGAAAACAGACCAAAACAATGGGTTTGTGTAAAAAATCCAAGTGTTATTGTACTAAATACTAACTTCTGTATTTAAATCAATTATCATATTTTTATGATAATTGTGTCTGAATAAATAAAATTAATATATTTCCGACTTGTTATGTGTATCGTACTGTACTGTACATTATAAACACAATACGAATTATAACTGCATTATAATAAGGAAAACTCTTTGATGTGTCTCGAGTTTGAATGGGATTCTTAGAAGTTGCTTCTCCTTAGGATTCTTAACAATTTCAAGTCGGATCCTTTGAACTATATCTTTGTTCTTACTTTCAAAGGATTTATTAACTTATTTTATTATAACATTTTAAAAGTTTGAATAGACAATTAAACGGTAGATTTGAGGCTCAATTTAGTAATTCATTGTCTGGTAACAATTTAAACAACATTAAAACTTTATTATCTTAAATTAAATGTTATAAACAGGTTTTATAAAATAATATAAACTCGAATAGAATTTTAACTTTTATTTCCACATATAATTATGAATTATAATCGAAGCAATTATAGTAATTACGCGCCCTAATTTTCTTCGATTAAATTTATTAAAGAAAACTTTATAATTTGTGTGAAATATGAGTAATATATAATTATATTTTGTATATATATATATATATATATCTTATATATAT